GTATTTAACCAAGTAAAAGAAAATGAAGACTCCGGGAGGAGAGGATAGTCACAAAAGGCCTACGAGGCACATGGGTAAATAGAATGAAGCTTAGATTGTGTTTTTCAGTGTTTTCAGCCATTAGTGTCCTGGGCAGAATAACTCAGAGATAACTCCCAGAATAACGGAGTGAAGAGTAAACGTGTCTAATTATCCAAGAAAGGGAAGGTGGTTTGGAAAGAGCTGCATGGGGAAGAGAGTCACTGTGAGAAAGAGATGAGATAGTTTGTCTTCGTTTTTATTTTAGTGTTGGGCCAAAAAGATAAGGTACATGACTGAGTAAAGCGATGTTGCAGTTAGCACTTACCATCAACAAAATGTAGTGGAATCTGATGATGTGTAGATTTTTCTGCTTACGGTTGCCCAGCTAAGTACTGCAAAAGAACACAGTGGAGATGGCTTGCCTCTGTGCCATAGCGTTTGGAATTCAGCAGGCTACGGTGACTCACACAGCCTGGGGGCTGACGCAGCTGTTCCAATGATCTACTGCCAAAACCAGGAGTATGAGAGTTACAGAGTAAATCCATGATGGACTTGACTCAAATGGAAGAGAAAGAAGAATCCAGTGAAAATAAGGGTAAGGGGTAGGGAGCTGGGCAAAAGGGATGACATTCGAAAACAGCTCAGGAAAGAAAAAGGCAGGCCCAGGAGATTCTGGGTAATCCTTAAGGCTCATCTGAAGTTATAGTCTGTAGGGTATTAATATAAAAATCTGTGCAATTGAGTTATTTTTACCTACATGCTACACTAGTGAAAGGTGGTAGCTAAGTGATCTCATGAGTTCAGAGGAGTCAGATTATACAATATTTTATGCTTGGATGTTTGGATATTGTCTAGATTTATATGTATCTGGAGGAAGAAAAACAACACCAAGTTCTTAAACCAAAGAGTAAGGACAGGAAACATAAGCTGAATGGAGAGATGTAAGGGATGCTTCATACTACCCTTCTGTGCCCATTTATGATCTTAGGTGTTGATAAGAAATCTCCCCCCCTCCATAGTGGAAAAACATATACTATTATAGCTTTATAGCATGGTCTATAAAGTTCTCAACCTACTGATATTGGCTACTTGAAGTGCTATATATACGGTGACAGTTTATAATAGCAGGCCTGAGATTACAGCAGGGGTATAGGAAATATTGGCAACTAAAGACTTTTGTCAAAGATGATGGAAGGTCTGTTTGATATTGGTCCTGGTAAACAGCAGTTTTGTGTTTTTTTTTTCACCCCTGTCTCTTTGAAAGGACACTTGAATCAAAACATCATGATTACTATTAAAATGACAATAGTAACAATCTCAATGATCCTTTTACTCTTCCATGTAATTGTCTCATACCATTATATCTTAAAACACAGTACACACTTTTGTTAAATGCCTGACAGCATGAATCCTACAGAAAAATATTTGCTTACTAAATAATTTTAAAAACATTTTTTCTAGCAAACTTTAAACATGTCTCAAATAGGTATCCTGTGCAATCCAATGAAACTTTACTGAAGTGCATTCCAATTTCAGATGAAGTGTAATCCACAAACAGCATTTGGCATCTTCTACAAAAGGGAGATAATTGAACTTTTTGTCTAGGTACTTGTGTACTTACTGTTTAGCTAACTTGTCACTTATTTATCACATTGAATTCTCTCAAAAATTAGAGTTAAAAGAGTATACTGACTATTTAATGGTACTAACCAATTTTGTGGAAAGTATTTCCCTGCTATATTTCATTACTTCTAAGAAGTAGACTTTAAAAATACCTTAATGCTGCAGGTTTAAAGTCATTTACAACTGATGATATGTCATTGATTTACTGAAAGCATTTTCTTATTTCTTTCTGTGTCTCTGTCTGTCTGTCTGTCTGTCTGCCTGTCTGCCTGTCTGCCTGCATGCCTGTCTGTCTGTCTGTCTCTCTCTCTGTCTCTCTCTCTCTCTCTCTCTCACACACACACACACATACACACACACAATCTTCCCCACCCCACCCCCACAGTAGCAGGGCTTGGATTCAGGATCTCTTATTCTTGTGTTGGCTTTCTTGCTTGTTACTGGAACTCTGCCACCTAAGCCTCTCCTCCAGTCCAGCATTTTGATGATTATTTTAAAGTCTCACAGATTATTTTGTTTGGTCTTTGAAATTTGATCCCCCCAGGTCTTAGCCTCCTTATGTTCTTAAAAGCAACATTTACTCCACAGTATTATTCCAAGGATATTATTCTCAAAGAAAACTCTATCCTAATCGATGAAGTTCCTCTTATTCTATATAACCAATGTTTTCTTTTTTGTACATGGAATTTTAATGCTTACCAAGATTTCTCTGAACAGCCCTTTATAGCAGTTTACCTGCATCAGGGCCTAATAGCATTTTAGACACTTTAACCTTTGTAGCAGAAATTCTGCAGGACAGTAATTCATTACATTACTTAAGTTCCTGTACCAAATTCAGAGACACACTTTTTTTCTAGACAATTATTAGATCATGGAATTTATTTGTATTTTGAAATGTTTGAATTTTTATTTTTAATGTTTCTTTTTTATCCCTCCTCCTCCCCCTCCTTCTCTTCCCCCTCCTCCTCTTCTTCCTTCTCCTCTTCCTTCTCCTCCTCTTCCCCCACTCCTCCTCCTCGGTTCTCCTTTCATCTTTCTTCTTCTTTTTAGATTGAATCCAAACCTTGTGCATGCTAGGCAAGCTCTCTACTACTAAGTTCCATGGTGTCCCCTGAGCTGAATTATGGAATTTAAAGGCTGGATAAGACCATAAAAATGTTTCACTTTTTGAGATCTAATTAAGATTTGTTTAGATTTGGTGAGTCAATCTTATTCTACAGTTTAAATGGTGGATCAAGGCTGTTGCCCCAAAGAACAACAGATCATAATTTTAGTCATGGTTTATATGTCAGGATGTTATGAAATTTCAAAAGCAATACTCAGAATTTTACACCTTTCTCTCTCTTTAGAGAAGGCAACATTTTAATCAAGACTGATTTTTCCTATTTGGAAAATAGGAAAGCCTGCGACTGACTAGTTAAGGACAGAAAAATAATATGATCTTAAAATTCAACGTATTATCTCGTGAAGAATTCTGACTGTCTTGCTTATTGTAAAGGGGTCTACTGTAGTCTTTGCATTTTACCATGCCTAGTTTCTCTAGTTTACATATAAAAAGAGTCCTTAGTGTTATTTCTAGAGAGTTAAACAATTTTGCTGTTTATTAGCATTTCAAAACTCCTCGAACCACAAAATTTACTACAGAGAATGGTCTTTTCAGACCAGTGAACCCTCAACGGTTAGTATTTGAGATTCATATCTCAAAAATGGAGCTCTGTCGAGTAGATTTGCTTCTGGAATAATACTTCATAAAAATGAGTCAATAAAATGGTAAAAACACGATAGCTATATCAACGCTGACCTTGTTAATGCACTTTCATTAGCATTCTTGGAACACACACACACACACACACACACACACATACACACACATAGTATCCAAGTCCAAATTATAGTCTCACCACAAAAATAATACTTTTAAATATAACAACCATGTTTACATATACATATATAATCTTGGTAGATAATCCCAGTCATGTTATGAGTAATCTTGCACCAGGTTCAAACAAGATCATAACTATAGGTGAAACTTCTCAGAGTAGAGTGTGACTGAAAGGAATTGAATACATAAAAGATGAATGGAGTTGTAGTAAATCTGTATTCTATGGTTCCTTAAGAGAATCCAACCAGGGACATCATGTCTTATCTTGGCTACTCAGGAGGCAAAGATAGGGCACCATGGTTTAAATCTACTCTCAGTTGGAAGATGAGTGAAGGGGGTAGTTTTGTAGTAGATATTTCTGCATCTTCAAGGCAGTGTCCATACCTTAATTAAAAGACTATTCTCTGAAGAAATTCTCAGACATCTGCAGCAATAAATCTTGTTTATCCATGAATCTGTGTTATTAAGTAACTTTGACTTCCAGAACCGAACCACATAAAATATCTGAGATGTTAATGATAAGCCTGGATTCCCCAACTATGGCTACATGCACCATTGATTTCCTTCCTTCCTTCCTTCCTCCTTCCCTCCTTCCTTCCCTTCTTTTCTCCTTCCCTTCCTCCCTTGCTAGTTTCATATTGTGAAAGACGAAGCGGTGAAGAAATAGAACTGATTCTTTTGAACAGGGGAAATATTCTTTCACAGTGCTCCACACCCCGTACACTCCCCTCCAAAAACACAAACCAATCCGAAAAGCAGCTAGGTGCTTGGCAGGAAACATACTCAGTGCATTTACTTTCAAAGAGGAACATAAAGGCTAGCAGCTCAAAGGATGGACTGTCCGTCTGTCTCTCTGTCTCCTATCTGGGCTGGCCTTCTTTGGCTTTTGCAAGACTTTGGTGGTCTTTGTTATTCACAAACAGTAGAAAAAGAACTCCTAAGCACCGGCGTGAGCCGTGACTGGAGCCACAACAAAAGAAAGCGAAAACACGCAGGAGTGGCGAAGCTGCGGCGAATCGCGCGGGCGCTTCCCGAGGGTCCCCTGGCGCGCAGCCTGGTCCCGGGCTCGGGCTTCAGCGTTCACTGGCAGGACTTCAGCCACAAGATGGCACTGACCCGCGCACAACGGAGATGGCCGTGCCAATGACTTTTATCTTTTCCCTTTCTTTCTTTCTTTCTTTTTTTTACAGCCTGGTAAAATTGCTAGTCTTTGCGCGAGGCCTGGGCGGGGAGCGGGGTCCGGGTGCCGAGCACTTGCTCGCACCCGCGGCTCCGCGTCCCTCGCTGCTCCCCGCAGAATTCCCAGCCCCGCACCCCGAGGTCCGGCTCCCGGGACGGAGGGGGGCGGGGGGAGGGCGCGTCTCCCGGGGCGCCGTCACGTGGTCCGGGATGAGGTGGAGTTCGGCTTTAAGGGGGCGTCTCTTCCTATCTTCAGCGATCTTTGGGAGCTGAGCAGGCGGAGCACCAGCCGGTCTTCCCTCGCCTCTCCCCCTCACTCCTCTGGTCCTCTTCCCTTTCCCGCTTTAACCGACGCGGGGGCCCAGACAGAGGACGGCTCGGACCCGGAGCAGGTTAAGTTGCAAGTTGATGCTTTTTAAGGGGGGACTTTGGAGAAATCGCTTGTTGCAGAGCAGACAGAAAGGCTGTGAGTACACCCCCAAAACCTGGGGGGGGCTGGGGGTGTGTGGAGAGAGCCTTCCCCTCTCTCTGCGGGCAGGGGGCGGGATGCTGCAGGACTTCCCGCCGACGGGACCCCGTACCTTCCCGCCGCGCGCGCATCCCCGCGCGCTCCGCTCCGCTCCGCCCGGGCTTCGCTTGGCTTTGGGGACCTAAGTTTTCTTCTCTTGGACTCTCACCAAGGCCACACAGGTGGCCAGGTGTCTGCCCCGGTCCTCCCCGCACCTCGATCGCTTCGGCTGGCCGGAGCCGCCGCCGCGTGCTGGAGTTCTCATGGGGTGCCCGGGGTGGGGTACAACGGCTGGGCAGGGTGGGTTGGAGAACCGTCCACTTTTCTCCTCCCTGGCCCGCGGCGCCAGGTGCCCGGCGGGTTTCCACACCGGGTGCCAGCTGCTGTGGGTGTCCCAGATCTGCGTACCCCTAGCGAGGTGCACCTGCCATGCCATGAACCTGAGTTAGGATGGAGACCCAGCCGCCCGCCCTGCGCTGGGCCCGTCCAGCCACCGCGCCCTGCGGGATGCCCCGAGCCCTGGCCTGCATCAGCGGAGCATTCACCACAGAGAGTTCAGCTGGCTGCTGGAGAACGTGCACGATGAGCAGGCTGGTTTGGGAGGCGCAGGGTGGGCGGCCCGGGGTCCTTGCTGGGATGCGCCCTGGGGTCCTCTGCTAGCCTGGAGAGAGGCGAACGCGTGCAGGATGGATGTTAGGTTCAGGAATGCAAATTGGCTTTGGCTTTGGGCCTGGGCTTGCTCGCTCTGGTCTGGGGGTGGATATTTTCCCATTTTGCCTGTCTCCCGTGACCACGGATAGAATTGGTACCTGGGAGCACACGGGGTTCCTATAGAGGCATGTGTGTGGAGTTGTTCAGCAATTCGAGAACTAGTTCCATCCTCTGCACCAGCTGGCAGGTAAGCATGCCCCCAGCAATGTGCATTGAACATCTTGGTAACTCCGCACAGGAAAAACCTAGTGGGGGGAACCCCTGGCTGCGGGTTCCATCTTTTTATTTTCTTTCTTTCTCAGAGATTTGCCATTCACACCTCTATCCTATGAGAAATCTAACTGGGGACAAGGAATGGCGGTCTCCAGGCTGGAGAAGCAGAGGCTCAGCTTGTCGGTTTCTGTCAGGATTGAAACAGAAATGAGTAGCCGGGCAGGCTTCCTTCTCTGCAGAGAAGGAAAAAGCGCTTCCTGCCCAAAGCCCAGTTCCCCACTCCTGCCCCCAGACTCAGCGCGCCTGGTGTCTACTACTGTTGTCAGCTCTTTCCTTGGGTAGCTGTCTGTTAAACAAGACCCCCCCCCAGCCCCCATTCCCGGAAGCAACCGAGAATTATGTAACTCTTTTAGATAAACTAGCAGTAACTTTGGGAGGCTGAATCGAATCAGACAATCCTGAATTTTGGAGGGGGGGGGCAGAAATCTACAGCAAGAAGTCAAACATTCCAACTGAAAAGAGGGGGAAGGTAACTTCCCTTTGCAGTGGGGAATCAATTGATGTATACATGCAATGTCTGTTTTGTCTCTACATGTGCATGGTAGCAACACTGAGATTTCACAGACTTTTGTTGCTTCAGTGTCTCTGGTTTTCTCGTTTATTTTATAAATATATCTTGGAACAGCAAATGTCAGATTGTTTCCTTTCCCAAAGATAGGATATGTCAACTCAGTACTGTTATTTTCTGGCAATTATCCTTTCTTGACACTGTATGAAAGCCATGTGAAAAATATACATTTTTTTATCCAACACAAAACTGCTTTACCAAACAGAATAACTACAGTCCTGAACACAAGCTCACAAACACTTCTGTAGAAGTAAATTAACCTTTTTTTTTTTCTGTAGAGGTAAATTAACATCTCGTTAGTGGGAAAGCCAGTGTTCCTCCAGATCTATCATGTTGCACATGCCAATCAAATGCAATTTCAGTGCTTTCAGAGTGATGTTTCCCTATGTCTACCTAAAACACATAGTTGCATGGGTTCTCAAAGTTGTCAAGATGAGTTAAATATAATTTTTTTTTGTATTTTCTTCCCTGGCACTGTGAACAACTTGGATTCCTCCTCCTGGATCATCTGTACTGCTCTCCTGATGACTCTCCCTACTTCTCTTCCCTTCCTTCAGTGTGGCAAAAGCCGCCCCCAGAGGAGTGAGTCTAAGGCAGGCAGAAGTCATTTAACTTCATGTGTTTGCCAAAGGCTGTTCAGCGTTTCCTCATCTCTGCACTTAAAAAGGTGAAGACCAGGCCGTTAGAACAGGTCCTGCTCAGGCTTTGTCACTTTGCCTGAGTCTTCCCAGTTCACCACCTATCCCCTTTCTTCTTAATTTCCTGTAGTTCTCTGCCTATTAGTCCCCATTCCGATCGCTGTTTAGCACACCAGGTACACTGCAGCCTTAGGGAATGCCGCGTTGGTGCCTTGCACATGGGATGCTGTTTCTGGGATGTCTGCATGGCTTCCTTCCTCACCACCCTTGGGTGAGATGCCTTCTCTTCCCACACAGTAAGAACTACAGTTTCAAACAGTTCCAATTTCCCCTTCTCTGCGCTATATTGCCCCTGGCACTTATCACTGTATCACTTGCTACTTTATTTTTTTTTCCTTGACTTTGCTCACAAGACTGGAAACTTAGTCACTGCTGTGTGCACTAAAACCAGGCCCGGCACAAAATAAGTGTTAACAAGCATTTGTTGGCTGAATTAATGTTCTTCCAGAAACATTTCCTATTTTCATGGGAAATGTACCTAATCTAATAAAATGACTATCATACTTAACATTCATTTTGCTTATTAAAAGAAAATTTAAAAAAAGACTAGGATGGAATAGAATTATGTCACGATGAACCTACTCACGATGAACCATGCACTTGCCATCCCTGTAATGCAATCAGTCCAGCTAATCATTTCCAAGTATTAAGATGTAGGGACAGTTAAAGGCTGGAGGTATGAATCCAGTGGTAGAGCACTTGCTTAGGAAGTATAAGGCCTAGAGTTCAAATCCCAGTACCACAAAAACGTTTTTTTTTTTATGTAGAATTATGCTCAATGCCTACTTTAAAATCAATGCAAGTCAATCAGGGCTTCCGGGTACTACTTGGTGATTTGAGGGAGAGGTAGAATTTGGATTAGGGGAGTGAGACGGACAGAACACCCAGTATGTGGATAACAGGGAGGAAGATGCAGAACTATATTTGATGGACTTGGAATATACAAGCTAGCCTAGAACAGAGCTACTAGTGGAGCTACTACTGCAAAGAGAGGAAGGAAAGCATGACTTAGAGGTCTTTAGGTGTCAGAGTGAGGAATGTCAAAAGACCACAACTCATGTATCTTTTTTTGGGGGGGGTCCGGTCGTAGGGCCTGAACTCTGGGCCTGGGCGCTATCCCTCAGCTCTTCAGCTCAAGGCTAGCACTCTACCACTTGAGCCACAGCGCCACTTCTGGCTTTTTTCTTTTTGCTTATGTGGTGCTGGGAATCGAACCCAGGGCCTCAGGTATGCAAGGCAAGCGCTCTACCACTGAGCCACCTTCCCAGCCCCCAACTCATGTGTCTTATATCAGGGTCATCATTTCTCCAATGATGACAAGGGGCCTCCAGAAGATCATGAGAAAGCATTTTGCTGCTCACTGTATTAGTGTTGTTACTTTAAGTAATGAAGAAAAACTCATAACTGATAACAATGACCATCTCTATAGTAACCCGAATATAAAGTATGGTGCTAAATTTTCTCTAACTCTGCAAGAAAGTAAGAGTTTTCTGAAAATCAAAAATCTTAAAAAAAATGGTTACCCATTTCTTCAAGGTTTGTTCTCACACATTAGCATTCCATTGAGCAGTTTCTTTCTATGGTTGAGGAATTCCTGAGAAAGTGTGATTACTCCATAAGAATTAGAAAGCCACTCCAGGTGCTGACGTAGAACATCATTTCTAATGGTGTTCACCCGTAAAATCCTCCAACATTAGCATGCTCTAATATTTGCACTTGATTGGTGATGGCAACCTTTATTTTTCCTCTTCAGTTTTATGAAGCCTAATTGTAGTTTTATAATAGAAAGCACCTTCTATTCTAGAAAGCAAAAACACTAAAGGAAAGGTTTATTAGAGTCGTCACTTAAAAGGCAAACACATTTTTGTTCACTAAATGTCTTATTTTCCTTTTAATGGAAGTAAATCTGCACAATTCTCTCTCCTGTGGTAACATAAGAAAGGACAACTTACTGTCTCTGTTTGGCACAATAACCTGCTGATTAGTATAAGAAATCCCATCTCATATTTTTGCTTAGAAATGTAGGGAAAATCAGAGATCGTCTTTCTTTTTAAAGGAGCCTTTAATCTGTACAAGACTGTTGTCTGTGTTTTATCTTGTTAGTAAAAGAAGAATGTTTATATCACAAAATGCTGTGATTACAACCTTTACACATGCTGCACAATTACAGACTAGGGGGCATAGCTTAAATGGTGGAGTGCTTGCCTAGCATGCACAAAGCCCTGGATTCAATCCTGAGCGGCACATACACACAAAAATTAAAATTCCACCTAAAATCTATAGCCTTGCATTGGATACATACAAATTATGGTGAGGAGGGAAGATACTACATGGAAAAAAATACTTCTAGCATACTAATACAAGACATAGTGTCTTAAAGTTAGGATGTACACAATGTGAGAACTCTTAGAAATGGTCCTTCTTGGGCTGGGAAGGTGGCTCAGTGGTAGAGCGCTTGCCTTGCATGCCTGAGGCCCTGGGTTTGATTCCTCAGCACCACATAAGCAAAAAGAAAAAAGCTCAAGTGGTAGAGCGCTAGCCTTGAGCTGAAGAGCTGAGGGACAGCGCGCAGGCCCAGAGTTCAGGCCCACGACCGGACCAAAAAAAAAAAAAGAAATGGTCCTTCTTGTATTGGATATAAACTTAGTATATGGAACATTTGCTACTTGTGAAGACAATTGTTCCCATAATGTTATTAGTATCTTAAAAATAATATATATATATATATATATATATTTGGTCCATTTCTTACTTGGATATTTAGATACAGAACTAAGCCCATTTCTGTATAATCCATAGGCCAAATTGTTGAAGGTCGATTTACCATTCTGTTTTCTGAATTAAATATCATGGAGTTTTTCAGCAGTTTCACAAAAGAATTTTTTATGTTCCACTGTATCGATTATTGTTGTTTGAATATATTTATGCTAAATAACGTATGCCTTGAAAAACAGTTCAGTGTGTTGTGAACAATTATCACAGGGCAACCTCTAGACTCGTTTTTTTCCCATTTCTACAGTATGAGAGAGAATCATGTGTTTATTATGGTTGCATTACCTTACCTGTCCATATATATATTTTTTTTTTTTGGTCTGGTTGTGGGGCCTGAACTCTGGACCTGGACGCTGTCCCTCAGCTCTTCAGCTCAAGGCTAGCGCTCTACCACTTGAGCCACAGCGCCACTTCCTTTTGTTTTCTTTTTTGCTTATGTGGTGCTGAGGAATCGAACCCAGGGCCTCATGCATGCAAGGCAAGTGCTCTACCACTGAGCCACCTTCCCAGCCCACCTGTTCATATTTTTAATGATTTACTTTTGTGCACTAAGTAGTTTGTTACATCTTCACATTCTTTCAGTGTTTAAGAATATATTGATGGTGTAAGACTTCAGGAGACACACACACACACACACACACACAAACACACACATACACAATCTTAGTCACAATAGATTACCAAAACTCAATGTATAAGAAAATGGCTCACACCTACTCAGGAGGCTAAAATCTGAGGATCAAAGTTCAAAGCCAGCCTAGGCAGAAAAATCTGATTGGCTCTTATGCCCATTTAACCAGCCAAAAGCTGGAAGAAGAGATATGACTCAAATGGTAGAGCTCCAACTTTAAGTGAGAAATCTATGCAAAAGCTTGAGATCCTGAGTTCAAGCTCCAGTCTCAGGGCCATTTGTTTTTTGAGACAGGGTTTCTTGTCTATCCCAGGCTAGCCTTGAACTCACCATGCAGCCCCAAACTAGCATGAAACTTGTGATCCTCCCACCGAAGCCTGCCTGCCAAGTGCTGGGATGTGACCTTATGCCAAGCAGAACTGTAAAAAATTAAAAGGTTTGCATTGTTTCTGCTGTTTTAAGAGGATATTCACAAGATCACGTTTTCTTTACTCATTTCAGTGTCTTCGTATAAGAGTTCTATGGATCAGAATTCATTTTAACTGCCCTCAGAATTAGTAATGCAATTGGGCATTTTCTCTTTACAGGTGGTTCAATGCAAGGGAATAAAGAATTCAGAATGACTGTGGTAAATGGCTTCCGATATGCAAAACAGTAACATGCTGAACATTTGCCCTGCTTTGAAGAAACAAACCTCCCATCTGTCTACTCTGTAACAACACAACCAGCACAATGAATTCAACATCCTTTTCCCAGGTTGAAAATCACTCCGTTCACTATAACTGGTCAGAGACGATTTCCCCATTTTTGGCTTTTGAAAATGATGATTGTCACCTGCCCTTGGCTGTGATATTTACCTTGGCTCTTGCTTACGGAGCTGTGATTATTCTTGGGGTCTCTGGAAACCTGGCCTTGATCATAATCATCTTGAAACAGAAGGAGATGAGAAACGTTACCAACATCCTGATTGTGAACCTTTCCTTCTCAGACTTGCTGGTTGCCATTATGTGTCTCCCTTTCACATTTGTCTACACGCTCATGGACCACTGGGTCTTTGGGGAGACGATGTGCAAACTGAATCCTTTTGTGCAATGTGTTTCAATCACTGTGTCCATTTTCTCTCTGGTTCTCATCGCCGTGGAGCGACATCAGCTGATCATCAACCCGCGAGGATGGAGACCCAATAACAGACATGCGTACATAGGTATAGCTGTGATCTGGGTGTTGGCAGTGGCTTCTTCTCTGCCCTTTCTGATCTATCAAGTACTGACTGATGAGCCCTTCCAAAACGTGACCCTAGACGCATTCAAAGGCAAGTACGTGTGCTTCGATAAATTTCCTTCGGACTCTCATCGGTTGTCGTACACAACCCTTCTTTTGGTGCTGCAGTATTTTGGCCCACTCTGCTTTATCTTTATATGCTACTTCAAGGTGAGAAAACCTTTCTTCCCCACCATTTCCCCCCTTGGCCTCCTTTCCACAGAATTCCCCATCAAACAGTAGCGCGGTTTGAACTTACTGCTTTTATTTTTAATTCCTTTCTAGATATACATTCGCTTAAAAAAGAGGAATAATATGATGGACAAGATGAGGGACAACAAGTACAGGTCTAGTGAAAGCAAAAGAATCAACGTCATGCTGCTGTCCATTGTGGTGGCCTTTGCGGTGTGCTGGCTGCCTCTCACCATCTTCAACACCGTGTTCGACTGGAACCATCAGATCATTGCTACATGCAACCACAACCTGCTCTTCCTGCTCTGCCACCTCACGGCCATGATATCCACCTGTGTCAACCCCATCTTCTATGGGTTCCTGAACAAAAACTTCCAGAGAGACTTGCAGTTCTTCTTTAACTTTTGTGATTTCCGGTCTCGGGATGATGACTACGAGACCATAGCTATGTCCACCATGCATACAGATGTTTCCAAGACTTCTTTGAAGCAAGCCAGCCCGGTGGCATTTAAAAAAATCAGCAGCGATGATAATGAGAAAATCTGAAACTGCTTGGGGCACATGGCCCCAGAGGACACCTTATTTTTAAGAGCAAGCACAACCTGCCACGTGGCTGTTATAACCTGTTCTCCCTTGGAACCGCATGGAAAGCATTGGTACAAAGACTAGGATTTTCTTGACTTGCATTTTGTTGCGTTTGTTATGGTTGTCATAGTTACATTTGTATACAAAGATGTATGGGCTTTGTAATCTTCTGGTACTAAGGATGGTCAGACTTTCCTGAAGTGCTTTTATTGTGATATTATGTATTATGTAATGTAAGGATTTTTGTATTGTATTTATCAGAATGAAGTTTCTTTGAGGTGTTACTATGAGCTGATTTAGGAGGAGGAGTTTCCTGATATTCTCATGATACTAGGCCATCCTGATTACATTAGATGCTCAATACACTGGAGCATCTTCAGGTAATGGCAGACATCACTTTAGTCTGTGATAGGGTTGAGGGATGTAAAAGCTACCCTTCAGATATAGAGCTAAAAGAGGGTCTGATATCATTGGAGAATGATTTGCTTTTGTTAAATTTTTTTAAAGAGAGAACTTAATTTTCTCTTCCTAATTGAGAATCATTTAAGATAAAAATGCATAAAGAATGCTTTTCAGCTGTGCCTATCACAGGGAATTAGGCCACCCACAAGAAGTAAGTGGAAAAGCAGTTTCCTAATTTCAAAATCATTCTGGTACCTGACAACCAAAGCATTTTCAAGTAATTAGTTTAATAAGTAAATTAGTTTTGCTGCAAATAGTTAAATTATATTCATTTGGATTGATAGTCAAGAGGTTTTTTTTTAATCCTTTATAAATTGTTCAGTGTTCGTCAAGCTTTCTGGTAAAAATATATATAATTCAAAAGGCATCTCCAGCTTACAATATATAGAAACACAAAATGTATTTTCTATAGAGCAGTGCCTATGTAATAACTTATTTTTTACTTTCATTGTTACCTTTCAAAGCAAAGGAAATCAAGAGACAATGTTTAAAAAGTGTTCACTCCAGCCAGGAGGACTAAATACCTGTGAACTTCATATAGTCTGTGTTAAGTTGTATAAACTGTGTGACTTGTGGAGTCTTACGACACGTACACTATGTGAGGAGTACTTATGTCATATTAATATCCTTAATTTCACGTACTTTGTCATGAATCATCTGGAGAAAAGACACTTGGAAGAACTAAGGCAAATCTTCAGTGTATCATACAGCGTATTAAAAAGGTGTTTGATTTTAGAAGGGCAAACATCTTCACTATTAAAATTGGTTTTGCTTTTTCTGAGGAGTCTCTGTTTATGTCTCTCTCCTGTGCATTTTTCTCTTGTCTGTGACCCCTGTGATGTGCTCACCGCATCCAGCATCCTCCGGCTGATGAAACATTTTCTACTTTTTGTTGTAACGACTGCTCTTTGAGACACCTTGCAAGTATGGAAACTCCTGAAAGACAGGGGTTCTCCTCCTTAACTCTCCGGCCCAGTGCAGAGAGCTTTCAAAACACTTTCCTAAAACACATTCATCAACAAATGGTCCAATTTTATCCCTTAACATTTATGATCCTATTGAATTCACATGCAGATGTTTTCTTGGCACCTCGTTCCTAAGTTCTTCTTTATCAAGAAAGTGGTTTCTCACTTACTGTATTATCTTCAGTCCCAAATGAAACCAAAATAGCATTTTAGATTTATAGAAACTTGCATCATCCACCTGAAAAGTCAAATAAATACCCACATTTGTACATGAATGTTAGCATGAAATCCGGTCATAGCCGAGACACTTAGACAAAGAAAAGTAACTGTAAAACCAACTATCAGTGATTACTGGAGAATTCCATCATCGTGTTTTACTCAAACCTGGGATTCTTAACTACTTTCTCATTTTTCTGCTTTCACAGACTATTAAGATATGTCTATGTCTGCTTAGGATTCATAGCAATCAATTGCCATTGGGAATGGTTTTAATACATAGGTGATATTCTTGTGAGTATGTTTGCTGATATGGCTACTTCTAGGGTTCTAGAATATTGATCTGGCTATGTAGGCTTCAGATGTACATGAATAATGAACTGAGTGTCAAATTCTTCTGTTTTCCCAAAGATGTTGATGAGCTAATACCCTGCAGTCATGGAAGAATGAATGGCTACATGCACACAAACTACAGGGCCAAGAACAAAAACCAATTATTAGTTTAATAAAAACGTAAGTTAATATTGCATCATGAACTTTAAATAAATTGAGAGTGGCTACAATTTTTAAACTTCTTATGTGCGAAATAAAATGTCAAGTGTGTGGATAGAGTGATTAATAGTATTGCCACTTCATACAAAAGGAAACCAAAGCTCAAGTTGAAATATTTATCTGAGGGGCACACACTGAGGAAAAAGTGGAGAATGCTTCAGCTAGTGGTAAAGGTATCCTTATATCATTATAATTATATATCATTCTAGAATAGAATTTTTCTACCTCTTTATAGTTAACATTAGCAGGTGAAACAAAAAAGAAAAAAAACGAAACAGAAGGCTGGGCACTGGTGGCTCACACCTGTAATGCTAGCTAATCAGGAGGCTGAGATCTGAGTATCACAGTTCAAAGCCAGCCTGGACAGGAAAGTCCATGAGTCTCTTATCTCCAATAAACTGCTAGAAAACCGGAAGTGGTGCTGTGGCTCAAGTGGTAGAGCACTCATCTTGAGCTGAAGAGCTGAGGGATACTGCCAAGCCTAGAGTTCAAGCCCCACAACTGACAAAATAAAAAAAGAAGAAAGACACAGAAAAACTAAAAGCATGAAATGATACAGAACAATGATATAAAAATTTCCCAGATTGCAGGAAGCTGCAGACCTTCTGCATGGCAAAGGACATAGCGAGCAAGATCAATAGAAAGCCTACTTTGGGAGAAGATCTTCACTAGCCATACAATGGATAAGGGTCTCATATCTAAAATATACTTGGAACTCAAAAAATTAATCCCCTAAGAACAAATCCTCAAAGAAACAACTGCCCAATAAATAAGTGGGCTAAAGATTTAAAGAGAAACTTCTCTGAAGAGGAAATAAGCATAGCCAACAGGCACATGAAAAAATGCTCAAGCTCTCTAGCCATAAAAGAAATGCAAATAAAAGCAACATTGAGATTCCACCTCACCCCAGTTAGAATGATTATAATCAAGAACCCTAATAATAACAGATTCTGGGGACATAAGGCCAAAAGGGAACCCTACTGCATTGTTGGTGGGAGTGTAAACTTTTTCAACCACTTTGGAAAGCAGTATGGAGGTTCTTGAAAGACTCCACATAGAGCTCCCCTATGACCCAGCAATCCCACTTTTGGGCATTTACCCAAACCATCACAAACAAGACCACACTAAAGCTACCAGCACAACTATGTTGATTGTTGCATTATTCACCATAGCTAAGATATGGAACCAACCAAGATGCCCCTCAGTAGATGAATGGATCGAGAAAATGTGGTACACACACACACACACATGCACGCGTGCGTGTGCACACACACACACACATACACACAGATACATACAATGGAATTCAGAAAGAATGACATCATCCCATTTGTTAGGAAATGGAAAGACTTGAAAAAAATTATATTAAGTGAAGTAAGCCAGGTGCAAAGAAACATAGGTCCTTTGGTTTCCCTTATTTGCAATAACTATATATGTCTGGGACAAGCAGAAAAGGTCGAAAGCTATGTATATATGACCAGATAAGATGATGTTAAGCGAAGTGAGCCCCAAGATAGGGGCACAAAATTTTTTTTTCTTTCTTGCTTTTGATTCTAACATATTTATAATGTACCATGTGATTTTTTTTTCTTTCTTTGTATATTCCTCCCCCAAGGTATAACCCCTGTTTTCACTGTATTTGATGTCGGTGCCCTGCATCTTGTATATACACTTCTCTAATTTGGGAAGGGAAAGGGAAAAAACAAAATCCTTAAATAGGGATACAGGTTGACCCATTGTAACAATGAGATGTACAAGACACTATGTTGAAAAATAAACTTTACAATTTAGGCAGGGACAGTGTAGTGTAGTTGTGGAGATGGGAGGGAACGGTAGGGGAAAAACAAAGGAGGAAGCAACAATGCTTGATAGGAAATGTACTCATTACCTTGCTCATGTAACTGTAACTCCTCTGTACAGTACTTTCACAATAGAAAGTATAAAATAGTTCCCAAATCATTGGGTACCACTCTTTGGTTACACATAATATTTCTATGAATAGATACACTATATATTGTTTATTCACTCACATGATAATAAAGTTTTAAGCTATTGAAAATAACGCTGCTGTGAACATTCATGTACAGCGTTTTGTGTAGATGTGTGATCTCCTTTGTTATATGTACCTACACATAAGAGCAGGCCTTCCAGCCATCTGCCAACTCTATGTTTAGCTTACAAAGAAACTGCCTGACAGTTCTCAGAGCAGCTGCACATTTTAAATCCCTACCAGCAATGTATGAGGGTTCCAACTCCTTCTCTACTGTTTGTCATATTGATCATGCCCGTACCATTGGGGATGAAGAGGCTCTCTATTGTAATTCTGATGTGTAGCTCCATAATGAATATTTTATTAAACATAGCCTCTAAGGCTTAATGGAAGTATTATGGATAGATGTGTGTGTGTGTGTGTGTGTGTGTGTGTGTGTGTGTGTGTGTGTGTGTGTATCTTTGAAGAAATGTGTATTCAAATCTTTTCAGTTGGAGAGTTTTTTAAAATTATATATATATATATATATATTCTTTAGAAATATTTTTTCTCATTCTCTGGTTTGCTTTCACAGTTTAATTTTAAATTATATGTTCTGAGGATGAACACTGATGTAAGAGGCACTAGAATGATGAAAACCTACATTTATTTATTTAGCCAGTCCTGTGGCATGAGCTCAGGGCCTGGGCACTGTCCCTGAGCTTCTTTTGCTCAAGGCTAGCACCTACCACTTGAGCCACAGCTCCACTTCTGGGTTTTTCTGCTTATGTGGTGCTGAAGGATTGGACCCAGGGCTTCATGCATGTTAGGTAAGCACTCTACCACTCTAGCCACATTCCCAGCCCTTCTACATTTATTTTCAAAATGACACCTATGGGAAGAAGATGGAAGTAATATTTGAGTGCATACAAAGTGCCTGAAATTTCATGCATGACCTTCTCTGACCTTCATAAAACATCTATCTAGTTGCGTTTCTCATCCTCATTTCAAAGATTAGGAAATGGCAACTCAGGCAAATTAACCAGAATTGCAAATTCACTGGGCCCATGAAATACAAAGCATGCATTAGACTCTAAGGCTCTGCCAGTTCTAATCTATCAAATTTCCTCTCATTTTCTAAACATTCCTAAGCTTGGTCAGCATACAGTGAGTCAAATGATTACTATTTGTCTTTAATGAGAGAATTCTGAGCGCTGCTTTGCCTTCTGCCTGTGGTAATGCCTCATATGCGTTTGCTGCGTTTGCATTAAGTATCCCCTGGAGACAATGTCACAGATCTACAGACTTGTATGGATGGTAGACTTCACATTTGCATTTCCTAACTCCCCAGAGATGTAGAAGAGAAGCATTTGTTGATTAAAATGGTCTCCTGAGAACGTGGCAATAAAACCAGTATCTGACACAAGAATTCTTGTCGGATGCTTTTACTTCTACATTATCTTCTGATATTCAAATATCATGAGACAAACTTACAAACCTAAATCTCTGTAACTACAAATCACATGGATTTTTCTTCTGTAACTGAACACTCAGTGAGTGACTGAACAACAAACATCATTCAGTGAGCTGTTTTTTTTTTCTGTTTTCTGTGCAATAAAACTACTGACAGAAAAAAATGATAAAAAGCAAGCAGGCAAAATATTGTGTTCTTCAGGAAGGGAGGAACAGAGGAAGGGAAGATAAAGAAAGAAAAAGGGGAAAGGAAAGAAGGAAGGAGAGGGAAGGGGAAGGAAGAAGAGAGGAAGAAAATGGAAGGGGGAACAAAGGGGAAGGTGTGGGAAAAGAAGGGGGAGAAGGAAAGGAAAGGAAAGGAAGATAGGAAGAAGGAAAGAAGGAAAGAAAGAAGGAAGGAAGGAAGGAAAGAAGAAAGGAGGGAGGGAGGGAAGGAAGGAAGGAAGGGAGGGAGGGAGGGAGGGAGGAACTTGATTTTTTTAACTAATGGTTTTGACAAATGCTCATTCCTTGATTGTCATTTTTTTCATATTGAGCATTAGTATTTTATGTTTTTTAAAGTCATTAATAAAATCAGTAAGCATCAATACCAAGCAGTTCCAT